TTCGCTTCTTCGCATCTGTCTAACATGAGACATTCACAGGTTATGGTGAACAGCTACGGATTCTTGTATAGTCATTGGAGTACAATAATATGAATCTTTCAATTCGTCCTCAATAACCAGTTCTAGACTCGTTACTTTGTACACTCTTTGATATTTCTGACATAGATGTTCTCTATCTAATGGTTTCTGAGAATTTCGTAGAGGCTGCAAATGCCCTGGTAGTAAGAAGCGTGTGGAACTCATTATGGTATTGAACCTCACTAGTACATACAGGTCGCAATGAACACCGGCAAGCGAACACCTAGGGTCGAGGACTGCTTGCTTTTTATGAAGCCCGTCTATTTCATTATTATGTGCAACTTCGCTGTGATTAAATGGAATCATGACAGCGACCCGGCACCCTTTGCAGCCGCTGAGGCAGCAGTAGCTGGGCCCTCGCGACTCAGCACCCACATGAAGATGAATTGGATGACATAAGAGTAGATGAACAGGAACTGAGTTCGACGATTGCGCTGCGAACGGGCAACTGTATGCATCGAACCGGCGCGCATGGACGCATCACTGGTCGAGTCTGGGAGTAGAACGTACTTCAACGAGCGGAGCTGGAAACTCGTCAACGGACTGGCAGGTTGGAGCCACAATGTTTTTCACTTACCAAGAAGAACGCATTGGCGAGGAATGTGTAAACGAACACAACCCAGCCAACCCAACCGCCAGTTCCTCTTCCTGGAGTCAAGATCTCGGACATAACCAGAGTTGCGATGATGCCAACGAACTTGTAGCCAGAGTATGCCACGAGGTCCAACAGCTGAGATTCATTGTTGATGCTGAGAATGTACATGGCCAACTTGAGACATAGTATTTCAAAAACTATGACCGCAATAGCCGTCGTAGTTATCGAGCCAAGTAGCTCCGGATGGAATTGACCTCGGAATCCCGCCAGCACCGCTGAAAGCAGAATATAGGTGACGAGCGCCATCACAGGGATGTACATATCTGGAGAGTTCAGATCGTCACGAGGGGGGAGGAACATGGATGAGTATTGTTGCTGGGCAATCTGGCCATTAGGACCCGCCGACGATGTTGTTAAACGTGCTTGCTGACGAGACCAAGGCTTGTGTCGCCAGGGGAAGAGCACGAGTACGAGCTTATTTAGGACGTAAGAATTCGAGACGTTGAAGTAATGTTTGAGAGCTGGAATGGAGACATAGCGATTGAACTATCGAAATTCAGCAGAAGCTCGTAGGTTTGGGGGGTTGTAGGCTCCTTTATCAGTGAACTCACGTTTTGTTCCATATACTCCTGGCCAGCAGCCATCGCTGTCTTCCCAACCTGGAATCCCATCTGTGCTGTGGGATCATTAATGAACCCACTAAAACCAGGCGCATATGTTCCGCTGCCGCCCTGCGCAGGAGAGGGCTGATAAGGATTACCATACCCAGACGACTGGGGTTGCTGGGATGTTGGGGGAGGAGGCGAGCGCATCATGGGAACGGTAGACACATGCTGAGGCACAGGATGGTGGAGTGGAGGTGACTGCGCCGGCGGCGGTGCGAAAGACTGGCGATACATGCTGAATTTTCTGTATAAGTGAGAAGCGAGTGATGAACGAAAGACTCGGGAATATTCTGTCTCGTCTTCTTGTCTTCTAGCAGCTGAAGAGGGGGGTTGCTGGAAATCGGACAGTTCCGAGTGTGAGTGATGTTGAAGTGTGTTTATACGTGGCTGGACTCCCTCTGATCGCCGGAGAGCTCTCACCTTTTCCGCCCACGGTTCCCCACTACGACTAGATGGTGGCCACTACACTCACTCACCTGTCCGTTCCCCAGAACCCACGCTGCTCACCCTGAATAGTATACACAAAAAGTGCTTACGATATGTTAGAAGCCTTCGAAGTTTTGACTACCTCCGGGGTGGTGCTTTGGTCAAAGTCGTATGCTCCGGTCGGAGCGCATGTGGTCAACAGCCTAATCAACGATGTCTTCATTGAGGAGAAGGTTCGAGCTCAAAATCAGGCAACGAGCAGTGCAGCACCTATATACAAGAAGGAAAAGTATACTCTGAAATGGAAGCAAGTCAAGGATTTCAATCTGATCTTTGTAGTATGTTCATGCCGCGCTTTGATTTAATGGCTCCGCTGACCGCTTCTAGGCTGTGTATCAATCTCTGCTACATCTTGGTTGGATCGACAAGCTCTTGGATAATATTTCGACTATATTCATCGACTTATATAAGGATGAGCTGAGGAGCGCACGCGCTAGGATTATTGAGTACCCGTTCGACAAGTACTTCGACCAGCAGGTGCGAGAGCTTGAGGACAATGCTGGGGCTCCTACATCAGAAACTCTCGCAGCAGAGGTCAAAGAGAGAAAGGACCCTCTTGTTTTATCAGATAATGGTGGGCCGCCTCCGCCGCCCGTGCCTGGTCTGCTCAAAGGTATTTTATGTCGATAATTTTTCTCTGCTCGTGATTCTGTTGCTAACTACTTCCAAAGCGCAACGTCCAGTTGCGCAGGGCGCGGCGACCTCGGACGAGAGTTCGCCACCCCAAACCCCAGATCTTTCTCGGCCGTCAACGCCCATTTCAGGTCATCTGCTGACCGCCAAGGGAGGGCCTGCCGGCCGCGCCTCTCGCCGCGCACGCAAAGCGGCCAACGCCAGCGCTACTGCTTCTTCTGGAGATGAAAGCATTCGGAAGGGGAAAATACCAAAAAGCGGAAAAAAGATGCGCAAGTGGGATGCTGATGGCTTCGCGGATGAGGACGATGGCAAGGTCCTCGATTACTCCGCGCCTGCAGATGGCGAGGACGCACCGGCTCCAGTAGTAGAGGCTGTCGCGCAAGAATCCTGGGGACGCCGAACAGGCAAGGGCCAATTTGTCCTGAAAGATCTAGGGGATGAAGTCCATTCCATTCTTGAGAATGCCGATCATGAAAAGGCAAAGGCTTCCTCGTCCACGGGCCTTGTTGGGTCAGGAGTCAACGCACTTGGTGGATTCTTCCGTAATATTGTCGGCGGCAAGGTTCTTACTGAGGCTGACTTGGAGAAGTCCTTGAAAGCTATGGAAGACCATTTGCTGAAGAAGAACGTTGCGCGCGAAGCGGCCGTCCGTCTATGTGAAGGCGTCCAGCGCGAATTAGTTGGAAAGAAGACAGGCAACTTTCAAAGTGTTGATGCAGCGCTGCGCTCCGCAATGGAGTCCTCGTTGCGCAAAATATTGACACCTACGTCATCTCTAGATCTACTGCGTGAGATCGATGCTGTTAGATCTCCTACAAGCAAAGGACAGACTCCTCGCCCGTATGTCATCTCGATTGTGGGCGTCAATGGTGTTGGAAAGTCGACAAATCTGGGCAAAATCTGTTACTTCCTTCTCCAGAATAACTATCGTGTTCTGATTGCAGCGTGCGACACCTTCCGCTCTGGAGCAGTGGAACAGTTACGAGTCCATGCTCGCAACTTGAAGGAACTTAGTGCTCGAGAGAATGCTGGAGAAGTTGAACTCTACGAGAAGGGATACGGGAAGGATGCAGCGAATGTAGCAAAGGACGCGGTGGAGTACGGTGCGGCGAATCAATTCGATGTTGTCTTGATTGATACTGCCGGTCGCCGTCATAACGACCAACGCCTTATGTCTTCGCTTGAGAAGTTTGCGAAGTTCGCCAAACCGGATAAGATCTTTATGGTCGGTGAAGCCCTGGTTGGTACGGACAGCGTGATGCAGGCTCGCAACTTCAACCAAGCCTTCGGCGCTGGGAGAAACCTCGATGGGTTCATCATCAGTAAATGTGATACCGTTGGTGACATGGTAGGTACTCTCGTCAGCATGGTGCATGCAACAGGAATTCCTATTGTTTTTCTGGGCGTGGGCCAGCACTATGGTGATTTGAGGGGCCTAAGTGTGCCTTGGGCTGTGAATCTGTTGATGAAGTGAGCGCACAGCTTTTGCCATATTATACAGGTTTATATCGTCTCGCTTCTAGTCACGCCAGCTTGAAATGTTCTTGTAAATTAGCTTACTGCGATTGTATGCGCATCGATCTCCCAACGGTAAAAATAAAAAGAGAGGAATAACACACTAGGAAAAAAAAGAGGCAAAAAAGAATGACCTACGCAGGATTCGAACCTGCAATCTCTTGATTCGTAGTCAAGCGCCTTACCATTGGGCCAGCAGGCCTTGTCGGAGATTTTGAGCACAAAAGTGCAATATCAAAAATTCTCATTGGTCCTTGGTCTCGAGGACATCCACATAGTTCAATCTCCCTCATGCACAAGACGGGATATTTAGAGCCTCCCGCACCATAAGCTTACGCCAGTCATCGTTACTGCAGCATAAGTAGTGTGGCTCTTATGCAGGAGGAACCATACAAAATTTTGGACGATGAATTTATTTGTTTGCCTTGAGGTATGACATCATTTTGTTTTTCAAAGATGGTCTTGATGACTACTCTTGTAGTGTACCTCTATCTCGACCTTCATGTGAGGATTATGACATCCCTTGGTTCCTGAACCTTGTCTTGCCCTGGAATGACTTCATTGACACCCAACCACAGATATGGCGCGAATCATTAATGATTCTGGGCCTGGGTTTGTTGGTACTTCGCGTGGGAAATGCATGACTCAGCGTGTCTCCCCGGATCGCTTACGTCATCATCTCAGTATCCAGCTGAACTGCGACTGCTCACTCAAATCATCAGCCATTGCATAACCTGGTCACTTCTGCTCTGTGCGTTGCCTTGCTATTGTACATTGAAAGTCTTGTCCAAGATTGATAATCCGCCCGTTTGGAAGTACATGAGCAGTTGCTTGGAAGGCCTTATTCCTTCCCAATCCGGCCGCGTGACCCAAGATTTTCCTCCGCACTGAAAACCTTCTGGAGACCATCGAGCAGCACAGAGACTGGATTAGCAGTCGGCCTGCCTACTACATTCAAGCTTCGTTCAAATTGTTACAGAAATACATCACTTCTCGCAATTGCGCGAGGATCGTCCCCTGTGAGGATGAGAGAGCCCGAACAGAACTCGCTCAATAGGCGTCATTCAAACACGCAGCACTACCAAACCTTCGACACTCCTCCTCCAAAATCGCGTGGAAGACCGAACTCAGGCCAATCCGAATCCTCAGGCGGCGACTGGAATCAGCAACAACATAGATCCGGAAGCGAGGATGAATCACGATCTCCCTTGCCGAAGAAGCAGATGGCAGTGTTGGCGATGATCGCGCTTTGTGAGCAGACGGCGCTCAATTCGATCAGCCCTTATTTGCCTGATATGGCGGCGTCGTTTCCCGGAGTTGAGCCACAGTCGGTGGGTATCTATGTCGGAACGATCGCCTCGGCGTTTGCGATAGCGCAGTTCATAACCAACTACTTCTGGGGTTGGCTTTCTGATCGCGTGGGACGGAAGCCGGTCATATTGCTTGGGACCATCCTCACTGCAGTTTGCATGGTAGCTTTTGGGTTCTGTAGGACATTATGGCAGGCCATCCTGGTGCAGGCGTTGATGGGCGCTGTCAATGGCAACCAGGGAGTGGTGTCAACATGCCTGGGGGAGATTACCGACAGAAGCAACCAGTCGAAAGCTTTCACTTATCTCCCTGTCCTCTACGGTATCGGAGGTATTACCGGACCTCTTATTGGCGGCTTACTAGTCTTCCCGCGAAATCCTTTGGAGAAGAACAAACCCAACCCATATCCTTATGCTGGGCCGAACCTCGTGTGTGCGGGAATTCTTGGGGTGGATTTCATTTTGACGAGCCTATTTCTCGAAGAGAGCCTCGAGGATGCGGAAGTTATTCCTACATTCAAACGCAGAATTCGTGCAGTGTTTGTCTGGTTGTGGGAGTGGACTAGTCATGCAAAGCGGGCAAGACAGGCGTACCCTCCCCATGAATATCATTCCGTGCAACAGCATGCATCTGAGCAAGATCATGATAGCGAACTCGACTCCGCCTCGGAAGTGTCCAGTCATCAAGGAGTCACACATGAGTCCCTGCTCAAAAGCGAGATCTGGAATCGGGACACTGTTTTGCTTTTGCTGACGTATCTCATCTTCGCCCTGAGCAACGTGTCTTTCAACTCGCTTTTCCCTATTTTTTCGAATGCTCCACCTCCGACGGGACGAAGCCTTACTCCGAGCGAAATTGGTCTCTCGCAAGGCTTTGCCGGGCTGGCCACTATACTTTTCCAAGTCTGTGTCTTCGGCAGACTGCGAGATAAGATGGGCAACAGGTGGTCATATCGGGCAGGCCTCTTTGGCTTCGTGCTGTCGTTCATGCTCATGCCTTTTGTCGGATACAAAGGAGACGATTCTGACGGTCGGCTGACCAAAAAGACTGCTTTCATGGCCATTGAATTGTGCTTCGTACTCTTGGTTAAGACGGTCGCTTCGGTTGGCGGTTTGACTAGTGCACTTTTACTGGTAAGATCATCCTCATCCTGACTGAGATTTTGAGAATGCGCTAACTTTGCGGTCCAGATTACGAACTCTGCTCCGGATCACACAGTCCTGGGAGCACTTAATGGTCTTGCCCAAACTCTTGCCGCCGCTGGTCGAGCAGCCGGTCCGTTTCTATCTGGTGGCCTTTTCTCCCTGGCCTCCCGCATCCAACCAAAGGGAGAACTGCTGGCTTTTGGTGTCTTTGCTGCCGTTTCTTTTGTCGGTTTTGTCTTGAGTTTCGGCATCAAGGGTCGCTCTTTGGAGGCGCAAGATTGGGAAAGCGACGGCGACGATAATTATAAATCAGATGATGAGCGTCCCTCAACCCCGTGATTGAGCCCCGGTCAACCTCAGGCCGGGTATCACCCGGTTATTACGAATTGATGATCATGTATAGTGTCTCTAGGCCTCGAGTCCGGTGTTTTCTGTTGTTATACTTTCGCGTTAGATTGCCTCGCTCATCTGCTGTGCGAGCACTTGTTCATATGTATATATTGGTGAGAACAACGATAGATTTATTGTTCCTCCTAGGCCTGGCAACACCTAAACTTTCAAATCATGGGCACATCTTGTACGTGTATATCTGCATAAGATTAATCGAGAGATTAAATTTTCAATTATACGGATGATGTGAATGCAGATGGCTCTTCTCTGGGTACACCACATGTCTAATTATCGAAAGTATCCAATTGTATTTTATCAACTTCGTATCCTCGACAACTCCTAGAAACAAAGGAAAGGAAAAGGTTCGTTCGTGTAATTCATGTTCCTCACTTCCACTCCCACTCAATGACGTACATGAACGCTTCCTCCAGGTATCCCGTCAGAAGCAAGCCCTGAGCATACTCGATCAGCTCACTATCCGGCAATGACAGAGATCGAAAATGCTCCTTTTCGCCATTCGAGCCCCGCACGCCGATTCGCTTCTGGATGGCTGATTTGAACATTTCCTGTCCGGGGCTGACGAGGACGTACTTTGCGGGCGTATCGGAGGCCCCTGGGGGGATGTAGCAGATGGCTTCTTGGCGTTGGGGGGTTAGCCATTGGATTTCTCGGGCAGTGGTGCTGGAGGTTGTTGAGGGTGAAGAGCTTGTGTTGCCGCGTCCGGACGACGATGACGATGACGAGCTGCTGTCGATGGTTGCGAACTGGATGTCTGAGTCTAGGGAGAAGATGATGATTGTGTTTGTGAGGGAGCTGAGCTTCATCCGGAACGTGGTGAAGTTGCGCGGATCGAAGTAGAACGTGTAGCTGGCGAGTACGTCTACGGTCCTGTTGCTGTCGAGGGGGCGGATTTTTGAGAGAGCCTGGTCTCGGACCCAAGAGGGGCAGCGTGGTTTGACGGCGAGGGATTTGGACTCGCGGAGGGACACGGACGGGATGCAGTAGGGGAGGTGTCCTTGCAGGCTGGCTTTGTGGCATGGTTCGCTGCAGAAGCGGAAGATTTTGCATGCTGGAAGGCTCGTCAGCTTGCGCGGTGAGTCGCAGGAAAGATGTCAGGGAGGAGGCTCACAATTGCAGAGGATTTTAGTGGATGTTCCGCAGTTCTCACATTGCCCCGGCTCGTGCAATCCCCACTCCTTTCTCTCTGTAGCCAGGACCTCTCGTCGGCGGTTGAGCTCGACGATTCTCTTTTGTGCATAGCCGATCCGTTTCCGTGAATGGTGGTCGTCGGGTGTGGCACTTGCCATTTGAACGAGCTGGTGATAGGCGAGGATGGCTTTATCCACGGAGTCGAGGTGCTCGCGTGACACGCAGAGCGCACTGAGCGCATCGAACGTTTCAGGAGCCTCTGGTCCTCTTACGACCAGGAGGTCCTCGAACAAGGTCTCGAAGAGATCAGCAGCGTCTCGGTTCAGTCCTGCATCCATGTACGATCTACCCAATCGATGGATAACCCGAAGGGCCTCGGGGTCGCGAGAGTTGCGGTATTGGTCGAGTACGTCCATGATTTCCGGGGGAAAGTCAAAATTGTCAGAGCCTTGAATATACCGGACAACAGCATCTCTCGTGATAGCACTCGCTACGCCGAATATCGTCTTGCAATGCGGGATGGTTTTGCCGCATATCATACGAGATTCCTTGACTAGGCCGAGCTTCTGATACAGAAGAGATAACTTGTTCATTGCGTTCAGGGTCGTTTCGTTCTGGAGTCCAAACACCGTGTCGAGAGCAGGTACCGCCCTCTCCAATAAGAGGAGTGCAGATTCTAGATCACCCAGGGAGACCTTGAGAGACGCGAGATCCTGCATGCTACTCAAAGTTTCCGGTGCGTGCTGTCCCAGAGTCTTCAACCTGCCTGCGAACGAGCGCTCGTATAGTGCAGCTGCTTCGGTGGCGTATCCGTCCTTCGCGCAAAGCGCGCCTAGATCGTGCAGAACTGCAAAGTTCGTCGGGTGGTCGCGTCCGAAGGATCGTTTGTAGAGCCCCAGTGCCTCCAAGTAGCAGGCTTCCGATTCTGCGGGCATGTCCAGACTGCGGTATGCATGTCCCATCGAATGTAAAATGGACGCGCGAGACAATCTCTCGGTGTCCAATGCTGGCGCCCTGTCCAGAGTCTGCAGTGCATCATGAAACTCCACAACCGCAGCTTTCGAGTTGCCCTGCTTGAGGGCTGCATCAGCCCGCATTCGCGTTATCAGGGCTCTGGAATAGACTGTCGAGGCGGAGAGCTCATTCTTTAGCTGGAGAAAGAGTTGAGCTACCTCATCCATCTGAAGCAATCTTTGACGTCCAGAGGCGTCATGAACCATTGCGCCTCCAGAGACGTGTTGAATATGAATGAAAATGTTCTGGCAAGTTCGTAACAAAGTCATATACTCGGCTTCGGAAACAGCTGTTCGAATTCCATCTGCTCTGCGTTGGGTCTTGGCTGTGGTTTGCATGGCACTTGAGCGTCCTTCGATTTCTAAGCTTGTATCACTTTCGTTCTTGGACCCCCTTTGCGTGAAAGGAAGCCTCACGGTATTGACTCTTTTCAGCAACTTTCTCCCTCGATTAGAGGCAGATTTTGCGCGTGACAGACCTGTTCTCCGTCAGTTGGCGTCTTGGCCAGCATCATATTCATCAAGCAAACCTTTCGGAATGGTACGACCAAATATCCTTTGCAGAAGGGATTGCCTTCGAGATGACGATGGTGTCGCGTGGGTTTGATCTTCAACCAGATTTCCCTGCGAATCAACATAATCGCTTCTGTAATGATCGTTTTCCTCCTCACAAAGGGCCATGCCCAATGTCTTTAAGCCATTTATATGGACATCGTTCGGCGCTGGCAATGATTATCAGCCGTTCACTCTCATGGACTTTTGTTCTTATAGAGACAGGGCCGAGCATACTTTCATAGGGACAGTCCCTGTCTGACTGCGTCGGCTGCCATTCGGCAGTACCTCCGAACTGTTGGTATATACCATTGGGGGCATGCACTGCACCACACGTTAAGCCCGGCGCGTCAGAAAAAGGGTTGGCCTACCTCTCTCCAGGTCATATAGACCAGCAAAACTAATCGCGATGAGCTCATCTTCATCACTTTGCGATATTTCTGTCGGGAATTAGACATGCCTCTCATCAGGGCAATTGTGGAGCTTACTTCTGAATGACCAGGAATCCCGCAACTTTCTGGCCCTCTGAGCAAACGATTGCTCCCCGGCGGTATTGGTCGCAATATGGAATTTAGAGCCGGTAAAGTTCATCTGCGCAATACTGGGGCTTCTGCTGTGCGCTCCATTCGCCCTGTCCTTTTGAATATCTCGAAGACTGATGTCGTCTCTGGGGTCATTCAGAACAGGCTCATATCTAAATTAGTCGTGTGAGACTTGCTGGACGACAAATGGATCAGTATCAGACTGGCACTGACGAGATGTTACACTCCTCCCCGCAGTTTTTGCAACTGATGAATGACGGCATGTCTGCGAGCTTATATGAGAGGGTGTTCATAGGCAAGTACGGGTGACCATCTCACCTCGTTGCCGATCCACTATTTCATCATTGTCACCCATGGTAAATTGCTTCTCGCAATGCTCACAGAAAAAGCGGAGAGGACGAGAATTCAGAGGCAAAAAAAGCTTTTCCATCCGGTAGCCCTTGGTGATAAGACTATAAAAGACTGCTCAGCCTGAATCAACCGTACCCTGAAGTCAAGCATACCGATCTCGCGTCATCAAATAGATTGCCACCGCTGCCCCAGGACAGAATCTCGTCAAGTAGTGTTGTTTCAATTCACATCTGTATTTATCGTCAGATTATGCATTGAAGAAGCAGGACAAGTCAGTGTGCCGTACGGTGAGGAGAAGACAGCATCGCAATCCGGGCATTTGGAGTCCGCAGCACCATGGGGGCCCCCATCGTCATTTTTGAGAGGCGGGAACAGACGTACAGTTTCTGCAAAACTTTCAACGCCTGGAGGATCTTCGACGGTTTCTATAGATCCGCATCGCAATACGTTAGATTTATCAAGTGACAGATCATACACAGGAGCGGGAATTTGACGAACCATTCTCTGTCTTGCCAGCCAACGACAGTAAGACGTCCGACGCTCGAAGAACCCGTGTCCGCGCTCCAAGTGCAGCAGAGGCATTGTGAGAAGAAGGGCTTAGAACGATTTGGTTCTCAAAGTTCCGCTTCGCCTCTGCCTGCAGCGGACTGCGGCTGTCGGCGCCATCTCTAGCCGTCAAGTATGAGTTCTCAGTGGGATATCCTAATCGGGGAGCAAATGCAGACCCTGAAAATGTACTTACCGTTCCACAATCGGACTTGTATAATGACCGTAATCCATAATCAAGCTTCAGATAGGATGAAGAGAGGACAAAGGCAGAGGTAGAAGCAACCCGGATGTCAATGACAGAAACCCACATGCAGTCTGGACGAAGATCAAAGAAAGAAAAAACCCGCATCAGACTCCATCAATGAGCCGGGTGAGGCATCACTTTTCAATAATCGGCAGGTCATGTCCAGGTGCGTGTGCCCTGCGGGTCATCTTGATGAAATCGGTTCTCCATGGGGATGAGAGAGGTAAACGGGTCGCATACTTTCTGGTTTCAAAAGGGAGGAGTTCGCAGCGTCAGTGCTTGTTATCCCTCGCATGATCCTAGCGGGACGCATCCTTCGGATTTTGAAAGTCGTTTGTGAAGGATGGAAGGCCAGTAGGGTCTGTAATCTGACGAAAAGGCCAATCAGTTGATAGCTCAGAGGGTGGTTGGCGTCTGCAGGGTTTGTTGTCTCGGGCAATCCCGTTGGATGTGTATACTCTACAGAAAGTAGTGTGTTAGAGAGTCGCCCTCTTCGCGTCTTTTTTCTCTTTGAATTGACCGGACATCAACAATCAGGGGGCAGGATATCTCCCACAGCCAATCAGAAACACATTCTTTTTGATCCTGATTCCTTTTCTGTCAGAAGTTCACCCCTGTCTCTATACAACGATAAACCGACTGCTCCCTTGCGTCGAACTTTCTACAAGCACCCCAATGCCAGGAATACGTCTCCTCGGACACGCCATTTTTCCTCACCGCATGAACATGCTCCTGCCTGTGGCTCCCTTCGGTTGAAAGCTGGCCTATGACTATTGTCCCCGCATTCGCAAGATGAAGTCGTTTCCCACCTGTCATACTTCGATTTGGACACAGACGATCTACGGAACCCAAACGAAGCCCCAGCAAACGACCCACAGAATTAACATGGCCGATCGATCCTGGATAGATAGTCCGCCGCGTACGGATCTACAGTGCTGACTTCAGAGACAATTCGGATCAATAATTGTTGGAATCCATCTGATAGTCGATCCGATAGTTCATGGACTTGGTCTCGGGGATATGACCTATCCGTGATCATCCTAAACTGCGTCTACCACTTCTCCGTCTTCCCAGCAACAGATAAATCCATCCGATGGCCAGTTATCGAGACTTTCTGAGAGGGTGATAGTCGATGCGACCGTTGTTTAAAGAAAGGAAAGCATTCGGATGAATCACGATGGGAAAGAGTTTGAAGGAGAAGAAAGAGAGGAGTAAGAAGAGTACCCAGCCAAAAAGGGAAAAGCAGGACTAATGCGACAGCTACAGAAAGTCAAAAACTTTATCCGCTTCGTCTAGAGTCTCTAGACTCTATCTAGACTGTATGCGCCCGGATGCCAGAGTGTATATATCTCACGGATCCTTCAAATGCCGTCCTGACACAATGCGCCTCTGCCTTGAAGTCGTCAATCGGACAATCTCAAAAGCAAACGGCTTCTGATTGATCAATGGATGGCCAAGAGCGTCGATTCGCCAAAAAATTCGTTTGCTTCCCTGCTTCTGAAGAGGTGCTACGTAACTCGCGGAACGATATACCGCCGCCAACAACGACACGTCGGCAATGCCGATATCAGAGTGATACAGTCGATTGGAAATATATCAATGAAAATGAATTTATTGGACACGTTGAACACTCTCCTGGCTGTGAGGATTCTCGCTGCAGATCATCAGCTTACCCGCACGGGGTGGAGTGAGTTCCTTGGTTATAGCCTTATAGGACAGCCATGAACTCATATGCCCCGCAACAATAGAGCTTGGCTCTCCATTAACGAATACCATCCTTAAAGAAAAACAGGTTCGACGGAAACAATTCAATTGCAAAAGTCATGAAGGTATCTCCGCATGCGAATTCCGGTTTTTCCATGACTCTGGGCAGCCTGGATGATCATGATCACTGAATCCAGCCGAGGCCGACGGAACGTCACCCTTACGTGCGTCACAGCTCTGTACACAATCAAAGAGCATTTATTACTCACCATCGAAGCCAGCAGAGAGGTTAAAGAGATGTTCTTGTCAGCTCGGCGCTGTCAGTTCTTCACGGAGCTTAACTTAAAACTCTGAAACTATCTTGAGCATCAATCCCGAGAATCAGCATGGCCACAAAGATTGCTGGAGGCTTGCACAAAGCGCAGGACGTGCTTCAAAACACATCCTCTACAAGCAAGAAATTGGTCGATTTGGAAAGAGATACTGCCGATGCTCATACCCAGCAGCCACTGACCACTGATCATGGTGTGCGAGTCAGCAACACCGATCAATGGCTTAGAGTTACGAATGACCGCCGGACTGGCTCATCCTTGCTGGAGGATCAGATTGCCAGAGAAAAGGTAAACATCTTGCATGTAAATATCCTCAATAAAATGGTATTAATGATGTTCACAGATCCATCGCTTTGATCATGAGCGTATTCCTGAAAGAGTAGTCCATGCCCGTGGCACTGGTGCATTCGGCAACTTCAAGCTTAAGGAGAGCATTGAAGATCTGACTTATGCCGGTGTCCTAACGGACACGTCAAGGAACACGCCCGTCTTTGTTCGCTTTTCAACCGTCCAAGGAAGCAGAGGTAGCGCTGATACAGTCCGCGATGTCCGTGGATTCGCTGTCAAGTTCTACACCGATGAAGGCAACTGGGACATTGTTGGCAATAACATCCCTGTGTTCTTCATTCAAGATGCCGTCAAGTTCCCAGATTTCGGTACGTATCGCTCCTCGTGCGACTGCTTCTGTCTCTTTTGTAGGTGCAGATCTGACTCCGCTACCAGTTCACGCTGTCAAGCCGGAGCCACACAACGAGGTTCCTCAGGCCCAAACAGCCCACAACAACTTCTGGGACTTTGTGTACTTGCACCCGGAAGTCACCCACATGTTCATGTGGGCCATGTCTGACCGCGCCATCCCCCGATCCTTCCGGATGATGCAGGGATTCGGTGTGAACACTTTTGCTCTCGTCAATAAAGAGGGAAAGCGACATTTTGTCAAATTCCACTGGATTCCCCATCTGGGTGTGCACTCTCTCGTCTGGGACGAAGCCTTGAAGCTGGGAGGCCAAGACCCTGATTTCCATCGCAAAGACCTGATGGAAGCCATCGACAACAAGGCGTACCCGAAGTGGGACTTCGCAATCCAAGTCATTCCAGAGGAGAAGCAGGATGACTTTGAGTTCGATATCTTGGATGCTACCAAGATCTGGCCTGAAGACCTTGTGCCTCTTCGTGTGATTGGAGAGCTCGAGCTGAACCGCAATGTCGACGAATTCTTCCCTCAGACCGAGCAGGTCGCATTCTGCACCAGCCACATCGTCCCTGGCATCGACTTCACCGACGATCCACTTCTCCAGGGCCGAAACTTCTCCTACTTCGACACCCAGATCAGCCGGCTGGGCATCAATTGGGAAGAACTGCCAATCAACCGTCCAGTGTGCCCTGTGCTCAACCACAACCGCGATGGACAGATGCGCCACCGAATCACGCAAGGCACGGTCAACTACTGGCCCAACCGCTTCCAAGCCGTCCCCCCCGCCGGCACCCAGGGCGGCGGGTTCACAACCTACCCCCAGCGCGTGGAGGGCATCAAGAACCGCGCCCTCAGCGACAAATTCCGCGAGCACCACAACCAAGCCCAGCTCTTCTACAACTCCATGTCCGAGCACGAGAAGCTCCATATGAAGAAGGCCTTCAGCTTCGAGCTCGACCACTGCGATGATCCCACCGTCTACGAACGCCTCGCCGGCCACCGCCTCGCCGAGATCGACCTCGAGCTCGCCCAGAAAGTCGCCGAGATGGTCGGCGCCCCGATCCCAACCAAGGCCCTCAAGCAGAACCACGGTCGCCGCGCCCCGCACCTCTCCCAGACCGAGTTCTTCCCAAAGACCCCCACCATCGCCAGCCGCCGCATCGCCATCATCATCGGCGACGGCTACGACCCCGTCGCCTTCACCGGCATGAAGACCGCCATCAAGGCCGCCAGCGCCCTCCCCTTCATCATCGGCACCAAGCGCTCCGCCATCTACGCCGACGGCGAGGACAAGTCCTCCTCCAAGGGCATCGTCCCGGACCACCACTACGACGGCCAGCGCTCGACCATGTTCGACGCAACCTTCATCCCCGGCGGCCCGCACGTCGCTACCCTGCGCCAAAACGGGCAGATCAAGCACTGGATCTCCGAGACCTTCGGCCATCTCAAGGCGCTGGGCGCCACCGGCGAGGCCGTGGATCTCGTCAAGGAGACGCTGGGCGGCACGCTCGACGTCCAGGTGGCGTCGTCGCAGAGCCCGGAGGCCGTCGAGTGGTATGGTGTTGTTACTGCGGGCGGGAAGCAGAAACCCGAGACCTTCAAGGAAAGCGTGCAGATTCTCAAGGGCGCGACGGACTTTGTGGGCAAGTTCTTCTACCAGGTCTCGCAGCACAGGAATTATCAGCGTGAATTGGACGGTCTGGCATCGACCATTGCTTTTTAGTTAGCCGCGAGTTGATACGGCTTAGTTTTTTACAAAATTAGTTTATGATATGGATCTAATGGTAGCAATAATTCGATTTCATGAATGACATTCAAATGTGATTGAAAGAGACAAACAACATTGCAAGCTATGTGACAAACAACCACTAACGAATCGCTTCAAAATTCTGCAACGTCTCTATCCGGAAAAGTTGGTTGTACAGTAAATGTCTTGTAACGAATGTACAGAATGGGTATCGAGCCGACATGCAAAACAGGTACTAATATGAAAAGAAAGAATGGCATATACTTCAGTCGCTAAAAATGCAGCAGAAAAAAGAGACTGATGGCAATTGCTCTCAGAACCCGGCAGTATCATGACGAATTCTGACACAAAACATGGCGGCGTTGCGCATGCAGACGTTGACACATACATAAACATAGATTTGAGAGACAGACAGCCTCAGTTCAGTTGACAAGAAGATTATCAAGCCCATCTCCAGCCAGAGTTGACCGACTCTTGACTGTTGATGACCGATTCAAGCAGGGATGGGCTCTTCGAGCGAAAAGCGAAGCGGCCGCTGCGCCGTTGCTCGTATCGTTCTTGCTCCCTAGTGAGCAGTGCAACCGCGGCATTTGCATCAATGCCCTCGCCGGTATCCGTGATCTTCAAGGCCCATTTGGCATCTTCTTCTTTGAAGCCAAGCTCGTGGACCATCACGTGGATAGCTTGGTCGACGGGGTCGAGGACCTGGGGTCTGTAGAAAACTGGGTTCGCGGTGGGTGGTGGTGGTGGAGGGAGTAGCTGTGAGTACTGGACGGGTGCAGGGGGACAGTAGCGAGGAGTCGGTGACGCTGACGATGCCACTTGCTGGCTGGGTGGAGGTGGACGTGGAGGTTGCTCGCTTGGAAGCCCCTCGAGCCGTCTCATTATCATGGCATAGCTTGAGATCGGGCGCTCCTCGGCGAACGTGATTGGATTACCAGGGTTATTCTGCTGTTGAGTGCGTCGGTTTCGCAGCTGAGCTGCGAAGACGGCTTGTCGGCGCCGATTGCTTTGGTTGCTCTCGGTCGCGTTGCTGCTTGTTTGAGACGTTTTCTCGCGACCAGCAGAAGATCTGGAAGAGGTAGAACTAGCATTCGATAGACGTGATCCATTGAGCGACGGGCTTCCTTCCCGTACCTTGTAGGCTCTGGATACGGCTTCTTTGAGAAAAGTGGACCGGCTGATGTCGGAGTCGGGAGGCTCCCACTTTGTCAGTCCAATGGATTGCGCCGTTTGAAATGTCGCTTCAGCGTTATCGAAAGGACAAATTGAGCCAATATTTAAAACTGCCGAAGGGCCCAGCGTGAGGACATAGTATGTCCATTCCTCTATTCAGTTGTCAGTCCACGATCCCAGATAAGAAAAAGAGGACGAAAGGGGCACTTACCTATCGTAGCTTCTTCCTTGACCGTGTCATTTTCTGCAATGTCGAGCCTGTCAAAGACGCCAGCCTTTCGGGCCTCAGAGCGGCTGCCGTGAATAGGTTGGAGCAACACGGCAAGACAGGTCCATATTTCTGTCATGTCGTAGAGCTGACTTTGGGAGAGACCTTCCCCGTTTCCGCGCCCGAACCCTTCCGGCGGTTCAAATAGGACATTGTTCATGCCAAATGGCTCAGTGAGCGACGTGGTCACGATGCTGTTACGGTCGTGGGCCATAACGCCGCCATTCAGCCAGTCCATCTGTCCTACTATATCATTCTCCCGGTTCTTGCCACAGCCAAAGATCCGGCAAAACGTCCAGATTCGCCAAAAGGCGTCGTCGATTTCTGCCGCTCGGGTATCATCTTTGCCCGTCAGGCCATTGATCGTTTCCTGGCGAAGGAAGGTATTGCACCGGGCCAGTATGAGTGATTTGAGCTGAGCGAGCGTATAGATGTCTTGAGCGTAACGTTGGAGATAAAGTGTCGGAGTGTATTCGGGGACAGGGGCGTCCGGATCGACGAGAATCTGCCATTCGCTATCCCAGGGAGGGCTCATTTCACGCAATTCCCAGGATGGAGGGGACATGCGGTAGACAGCAGTCTTCATGAGATGTAATTCATGCTGTTTGAAAACGCGGTAGTACTGCTTGGAGACGACAGCTAGATGGAAGAGATCATCAAGAGAAGAAACTTGCTCCAGTATTTTGAGGGTGATGTTGTCTGGTAATTGGACAGCAGTTGTCTCGCGGGGTTTGTGGACTGAGATGGTAATTTTGGGATGTGGTGATGGCAAACCTGCATCAAGCTCATAGACCATCCTTTGAGGCAGGCCACCTTCCAATTCGAAAAGCGAGTCTGAGGTGTTTAATCGTCCTGCTTTGCTCGAGGCGACAAAAATCTTCTCCTCCACATTGTTCGCTCGGATTGCAGGTATCGATCTCTCAGTGCCCAGTTTGTCTCCCACAGAGCTGGAAGTGGAGACGAGGTCTTCGTGGCTGCGCACTTGCTTTGTCTGAAGCCGAGGCAGTTTCGATCGTAATTCTCTTTCGTTGCAAAAGGACGATGGTCTCTGTCGTTGGGAGGGTATTGGCAAGCAGGAAGACTCGGCCACTTCAGCCGTATCTTCTGCCTCATCATGAATAGTTTCCGGGCGCGGTGGGCGCTGAGGGCGAAAGGACGGGGATTCCACTTCTGACTTCAAGCTGGAGCTGCTGAACGATCGGAGATGAGGATTGGTGTACTTGCGACTGAATCCAGGGACCGCAAACGAGAAGGGCCCTTTATTCTTAGTGGGTTTCTTCATTGTTTTTCGCAAATCGCACTCTGATTTTTCGTGACTGATTTTTTGTCTCGAGTTATTGTTTGACTTGGTAGAAGCAATATTTGTAGGAGGCCTTGGAGCTGGTCGAGTAGCAATCATGTCCATATTTCCCCGGCTTATCTGCAAGGGCCCATTGAAGATCTGCGAGGACAACAATTGGGGCTCATTGTGGCGCTGCTCGGTGATTCCTGCAAGGACATTCTCCAATTCCTCAGCTGCCTGGGATAGAGTACGCTGAGAACGCCAAAGTCGTGTGGCAGTCGTACGAGGTCGGTCGCTGGAGGGACGCTCGCAAGCCTGGAGCGGACGGGGCCCTTTGTGACGAACTGACAAGGGAGCTAATGCAATCGGGGGCTCCCGAGGGAGGGGCTTGTTTCTCACCTCATCCAGTGAGGGACTTTTTACGACTAGCTTGGAGGCCGAGCCTACTAGCACGGGCGTTGTATCGTCATCAAAAACTCCTGCAGCAGCGGGGGAAATGACAGAAAAGGCATCGGCTGATTTGTAGGGGCACCCAGCTAGTTCGGAGCCAAGACTTGTCACGGACGATCTTCGGCTATAGCACGAGGAAGCTGTGTCGAAAGTGTCTTCAGACAAGGACGGAGAATCAGTTCTAGTGCCAGAATCCGAGGAATTCTGTCGGTTTTGATGATCAATTGCCTGCATGTCTGCCAGAAAAGAAAATGGTGTCACCTTAGGAATAGTGGTGCTTATCGGAGACACCAGCGAGAAATGCGATGACAGTTCAGGGAAGAATCGAGTCCAATGAGTCCCTCTTGGAGGTGATCTGTCCGACAGTGGTGAGATTGTGAAATCGTCGTCGTCTGTCCATTCGTCATCGGATGGTTGACTCGTAGAGGTATCACACTTCGAGATTGATGTAACGGAGTGTTCTGAATCAGACGGCGGCGCGCCTAACGGGTCTGTCGTGCTCATTTTTAAAGATGGTAGCCTTTTCAACGGGTCCTTCCCGCAGTTCAGATCTCGAATCGAGTCAAGCCAGAAGGGCTGTGCTGTGTACGGTTTACCCAAGTTCGGAAAATGCGTGTACGATATGATCCACTGGATCTGGAAAGGGCTGGAGGTTCGTGCTTATAGCTGTACAGTTAAATCACTGAGTATAGGTGCCTTTCTCAGGCGTATACATGATCATGCGAGATGGATCCGTGGCTTCGGGATGTTCTTTGTTCACCTTGACAATGCCACTCTGGTCTATTCCTGGGCCACTGCACTGCTCTTCCTCACCGAAAAATGACCCTGGACAAGTCCTCCGGTGGCGATAATGAAAGATCCCAATAGTAGTTTCAGGTCTTTGAGTCGATCGGACTTGGAAGTATAGAATGGACGTCCCAGCAGACGGTGTTCCTTTACTTCCCTGGTAATTTCGAAGCTGATAGAGATCGCCTCGAAATTGCGCTATACAGGGAACAAAGAGAACAGAGAAGGATTATCTGATGAAAGCAGTTAGCATGAATCTGTTCCACATGACGACCAGAGTGCTCGGTGGGAAACGAACCAGTCAAGAAGCAGGTATGTACAGAGTAGGACAAAGAGGTAGCATCATCACCTGCCAAGGGATGAGTGGTCGACAGGGAAAAGACCGGTCAGGATACAGAGTATATAGTCCTGAGACGCAGTACTAGTCTGGCAATCAATGCATAAATCAATTTCGAGCCCTTGTCACCACGTGCATGGCATGTGTTGGTTTCTGGCAAGAACAGGTCGAGCATTGTTGGTGTTGGGGGACATATAGACTATTATGGTCTATCCAATTGTTGAAACTAATCATTATTCTTTCCGCAAACTGCCTATCCAACCAAGCTACTTCTGGTCAAAGGCTGAGGGCACAAGGGTAACTTTGCATGGGACGATCCCTCGACAATAATCCAATGATGATGGACGATGAAGCTGGTGACACGAGGAATGATGGATGGGGGGCCAAAAGACTCAGGCGTGACCAGTTGGTTACTAGCGGTATTTCTCATTGTGTGGAACTCTTGGTGTTGTACAACTTCAGTAAAGCCTCGCTTAGCTGAATTACAATTACCGTCATTTCTAATAATATCATTGTCCATCAATGCAAGTATTTCTTCAAGAAACGAGACGTGCCCCTAACAATTCCGTAAAAAGAACGATGCTGATTCTATCGACGTCCACAATCGTATATGCAAATACAAAAAGAGGTATCAATTCCCTGGGTAAAATGAAAGAAATCAAGAACACGAAGTGGTATCCCGCCTTGTCGTATCGAGTCTTTTTTTGGCGTCGCCTCGGCCCTTTGTCCTTGGCTCCTTGCATTCCCCCAGCCTTGGATGCTCCGCCATCGAGCCAACGCCACTGATCTGCAGTTCTGCATCTTCCAAATGTCAGCCACCGGTCCACCCCCATCCTTGCTCATCGTATAAGCTCGTTGGTGGACTGGTTGCAGTCTTGCTAGAGTCCCAATCAACCTTGCCGGATTTAGGGCGGATTTCAGTAGAGGCCATCATAGATACGGGGTCTCGCTCAACTCTAGTCACTATCTAGTGTTCTGGGGGCCACATAGAATAAGCGTGGGCCGTTGCTATCCTTATGCCAGTTTGGCTGTCGATCCAGTCATCAGTTGAGAACTTGAGGCTTTTTCGAACATTGACATTGTCCCCTCCTTCTCTATTTCAATAATAACTGTGCCATGTCAACCCGCTGATCGCTTCTCTATCAAGGTATACGACAGGCTACTTCCATCTCAGGTTTGGCTACATTCCTTCCGCTTAGCTGCATCTTCCTTGCGTGACGGAAACTAGGCATGACGCGTGGGATTCGGGTATGATTTACCATGAACTGGAGTTCATCCCCTCGAATAGGAGTCCTCCAGTCTCGAAAACTGTGAGGATCTAGACATACTGCGATTCCCAGGTCTGTTTTAGATATGCTCTGTGGTTGAAGGCGTCACTCCGCACAGCCTATATCGACCAAAACGACTAAAACCACCAACTACCCCCAACACTCCCCGATCGTCGATGGAACTCCCAAGGGGCCAATTTATTGTTGGCGATCTGGATCAAATAGCCTTAGCTTAGCAGTAAGGCGTCCTCGGGAAGTATATCTGAACTAATGGATGTGTCTCACATACGTTCGAGTCAAGCTCAACTGCTGAGGTGATCGCGGCAGAGCGCAGGACGTGAGTTCCCGTTTGAGCTCAGCAGTTTTGCTGAGCCTCTCATGGATATTGGCCTCTGAGCCTTGTTTGATGACGTGCATCAGCTTTAGTATTCCTATTGTAGATAAACATAAAATGGGGCCGTTGGGGGCCGACGTTGGATAGAATTCCGACAACAAATAGTAGGTATCAATCATCATATCTGATCATCTGTGGCCATTATATCAAGGATCTGCGTAAGATTAAGCCTTACTCAAATCGACTTCCGTCTTGAATGTCTAACCAACCAACACCAACCCAACAATCCTCTCAGTCTACTCTTGTCTACAACCAAACATGCGGGCCAACAATTACTGCAATCATGAATCTGCCTTATCTGGGGCCAATATCACCCAGACATCAGACTCAGGTAAACTGCCCAGATGACGCCAAACAAACTACCAACAAGCAATCGCTTATCTGCGGGTACAACGGTGAAGTTGAGAATCGACACAAAAGGCCAGAGCTTGAATCCAGCAAGCGTGATGGGCCAAAAGTCCTGTCGGCGCATCAGACCTGGTTGCAACGGAAAAAGCTCCGCCCGAAGGGAGTAACACTACTGGACTTACATTCTGAATCTGCGCCTTGATGACCTCGAAATCCTGTCCTCGTAAAAGTCCCATAGTCATAACGAAGGCGACGGTGTTGATCGCGGCGCCGACAGTCTGATCAATCACCACTTTTGCTACGGTATTCTTCACGTTCAACTTCTGCTTCGCCTGCTTCGAGCCATTCTTCTCAGCAGTAGCCTTGGTGACAGATGAATCCTCACTGGAGCCCGGAAACCTCGACTCCAGGCTCTCAAGCCAGACGTACGTCAGCGGCGAGAGTACAAACGCACACGTCGTGAACTGGAATAAGGCCTGGAGGTCAAGTTCGAATGGTGTCTACCTTGCGCGAATCATCGCCATCGCTCGTCAGAATCATCATCATTCCGTTTCATGTTAATGGAATTGACCATGGCTGGTTGCTCGCTAGGATGGTTAAGAACATGAGATCAAACCCACGTACCTGATCTCTCCACGCTTTGATTCCCTGGGCAAGGACATTCGAACCCGCGTTTACGAGCGCAGCCTGCAAGGTTGCCGTTGCAATCGGGGGTAGAGACATATCTAGCAACGCGCGAGATAGATGAAAGCTCAAGCGACCGGGTGAATACGAGTTCCCCTCGTAAATAGAGTAGTGGACTCGGAAGGGAAAGTCAAATAGGAGCTTGGCTCTATCATTGCATAGATCAGCACTTAGTCTAGTCTGGTCTTTTTGTGCGAGATACGAACCAGGGGAAATCTTCGGCGTACTTACTGCAGAATACTTCGGAAGCTCGTGTTGCGTGGGTTGACTCTGTCTGCGGTAGTGATGTCAACTGGCAAGACACGAATTGTTCTGGGGTTGGTGAGCTAAAAATACTTTAGAAGTTAGATGAAGAACTCGTGTTTACCTATTTAGACGATGGACTGGATGAGTGGATCAAGTGTCTGAACTCACGGACACTACAATGGAAACGATCCGGAAAGGGACACGAGGTTACGAGGATGTTAAAAACATTTATATTAATGTTGAATCTAGAGAGGTACTTGGATTTTGATCTCTTGAATAATCAGGAGGTGGAGTTGAAAGGTAGATTAGGGCTCCAGATAGGTGCCCAGGGACCCAAAATAGTGGGGAAATGGATATGCGGAAAAGGGAAAGTTGACACGTCGTAGTAGACTCAGAAGTCAGTGAAAGAATGTGCCAATTCAGGGCGTTGATTGGTGGCTGGCCTTTCGTTGCCAATAATACTAAGGTACCTTACCTCTTTCTCCCATCACAATGGATAGAGCACAGAAAAAGAGGTGCTCCAAGCTATTCATCTAGTAGGGAAGTGCCTTGATTATGCATTGGTGCAAGATATCTGCAAGTATCGCTCCTTGTCCCAGGGAGCTCGCTCAGTGCTATGCTATCCTACTACTTGATTGATCGCTTCGACGTGGATGACGGCTACCAGGCCAGACTTGGGAATTTCTCGCCACGACATTCGAGCTCTCTGCAAACTGAGGATGTGTCAGTGAAGCTACTCTTGATTATCTGGCTCCGAATTGGCGAAGAAAAACTTACGTCGGTCGGCCTGCTGGGACTTTGGCGTCATTCGCGACTGCCTCATCGCAGGATGCACTTCCATCCCTTGCAGCTTTTCGAGCTTAGTATGCCTTTCCAGCTGCTCGAGAATCATTTTTTGCAAATCTATTCAACCTAAGCACATTAAGGTTCTCCAAGGTGAGTAATGGGAGCCAGGCAGAGACGAACTTGACTTGCCAAGGCGAAAGCGAAAATCCCTATCTTCAGTGGTCGTTGCTATCACACCTCCCTGGGAGCCATCCTCAGCTGCCCTGGCTTGTAACTGATATTGGCTCTCCATTTCGGTGACTTGTTCCGTTATCATCTCAATGAGCTTATCTGAAATCAACTGAGAATTGACATCGCCCTCCGTGTTCTGGAAGCAGTACAGATCGTATCGGATCAGCGTCTTTCGCTCAGACGCCGGATGGAAGCTTAGGGAGTACCAATATCTGGTATTCTTGATGGTATGAAACGAGACATTGGGAAATAGCAGAGTATCAGAGTCTCCTGCAGCCTTCCCGTCCAAATGATGCTTGATTCTTGCTAAAAGAGCTGAACGCACAAGTCGCACAAGTTCGGGCAATATTGCAGTTGTACCGAACTGCTTCTCAGATACGACTTGTGCGGCAAATCATCAGAGCTCATCGAGGCCAAAGAAGGCAAGACTGCAGAACTTACCAGCCATTTTCCAATTGAATCCTCCTTCGATAACCTTACCCCCAATCCAGCGTGACTGGGCTATAGCTCCATTACATTCCACGAAGTCGGTCAGACAATCGGTCTCTAGCAGCTCACCTGGCGCATCGCCTTCGAGATTCACAAAGATGAAGCCGTCGGTGCTCTGCTGAACATGAATAGCAAACAGGCTGTTCTGTGATCTATCGAAACCAAGTACATTGTCAAAATGAGGGGCTTTGATAAGCTCGCCTTTTGTGTTGTAGCTCCAGCCATGGTAGCGACATCCGAGAACGGTAGAACTTCCGCGCTCTTTATTCGCGACCGTGTACGCTCTATGGCGACAAACATTGTGGAAAGCTCTGATCTCACCATCTTTTCCCAGGATGAGGAAGATGGGGAAGCTGGCCACTTCGAAGGACTGATAATCGCCAGGTTTTGTGAACTGGCTGCGGTGAGAAAGATACAGCCACGACTGTGATCCTCAAGTGTTAAGAGTCCTGAAATTAGAGCCCGGAGCATTTTTGTTCGGGCTTACCTTGCTGAACACCGCGCGCCGTTCGAGTTGGAAAATATCATTGCTATTCAGCCAGTTTTTAGGAAAATCCGATTCCTTACAGACAGCTTGTGTGTCATCGGCTCTTGAGACTTGATGAGGTGGCTCAGATTGGCCTATGAAGAGCGTCTTAGGGTATATCCCACGAGGCCAGGCTCGACATATGAAGGCGATGGCAGTCAACAGTGCTACAAGTATTGGTGTAGGCGAGATCAGAGCCTCCATAGCTATCCTCTCAATTGTTTCACTTGTGGCCAACCCCGCAGCGTCGGGGAGCCTTTCAGGCATTTAAAGGACTGCAACTTGATAATGGCCCCAAGGGAGATTAACCCTGTTGGTTGCCCAATGGGCTCGCATGAAGAGACTAGACTCGTCGTACAACTGTGAGTCAATCCCATAAATCAGGATTGTGGCATATATTTCCAAATTTGGTGAGCTTTTCCGGTGTACAGTTGTCTCATGCGAGTCTTGCAGTTGAGGAGATCCCCAAATGACTGTTTGTCTGTTTTAAAAGTGAAGGTGAATTTGAATACGACGAACAAGGCATATATGAATCTACACTAATGCTAACGGATACTTATGACCAAACATGCAAATGTAACAGCCGTGTCTACTATGCGGACGCTCCGACTTGCTCGGCATTTATCTCTGATTCCTTCACACTGGGTGCGACGAGATCATGCCTTGCGCTTTCTGCGGCGTGCTGCTCGCACACGAGCTCAAAGACTCTGTCCTGATAAACTGTGACGCATTAAAACAGTTTTCACATCAAGCTTAGCGGAGGTCAATCTTATACCCACATGAAACTCCGTTCTCCTGCTCTGGATTCAGGATACCTTCGCTATATACGCCCTTTTCCAGGTTACCTTGCGCTTTCTCGCAAAGCTCATAGTCCTCCATCGCAACCTGTCGAACGAATCTGTAATACTCCTCAAATTTATGCCCGGACTCTTTGTGGTAATAGTCAAATTCCATCCTTGTCAGGCTCGGATCTTCAGTCGGACAGACACGGAACGAAGACATGCCTCCGCCATAGACGTTGAGAGTGCAGTTGGGGAAGAAATACAAGAACAATCCGTCGTCTGGTTTCTTTGGATCAGCGATATGTTGCGAGAAGTTCTGGTGATTCTTGACAGTATAGAATGTCGGGGGATAATATATGGAGAACGAGGGATGTGTGTATTGACAATGCAGACATTCCTGATAACCGTCTACCCTATTTGGTCTCCGTCAGGGAGATTTTAACAGTCAAAAGGAAGAACTTCCTCACATCGTCTTCCAGTTAAAGCGCCCTTCATATTTGATGCTGCGCCTGTATGGCAGCTTGGTGAAGTCCACCCTTTCTAGCAATGCCTCGAGACCCGGAAAGTACTCGTCAAAGTTCGGAGCTTCGTCCGACAATGTACTAAAGACAAGACCAGTAGGTGTGACATGAGAGCGAAGCTTCCTGCCCTAAACAAATGATGAGTATCCACGATATGGTACCGGGATCCTGAGGAGAGCGTACTGTCCTCACACTGATCACCTGGATCTCATCTGGACCAGGGAAAGTCGCGTCTCCAGAACTTCGAAAGGCGAGAACCGACTGCTGGGCGACTTCATACTCGACTTTTTCTCCTATGGTCAAGAACCTTGTCACAGGTCCGAGTAGATACCACGACTATCCGGTTATAAGACATTTTTGCACCATTCACACACTGGCAAAGTTATATACCTTGTTGAAGATTGCCCTGCGCTCGAGCTGATAGAGCGGCTGGCTGCAATACCATGAAGCCGGAAGAGTACGTGCTAACTCAGGCATTTTTGAGCATTTAGCAAATAAATCCGGTCATCTGGTCTTTCTCCCATCCTTTAAGTACCTTATCTCTGGACATCGCAGCCAAATTACTGTACTGTTGTAGCAGAAGAAAGGAAGATGTCCAATTGGATAGGTATATGTTTCCTGAAGAGGTTATAGGATCCCTTAAAGCTGCTTGCTATATCACACAGAATCTTAGGTAATTTACTTCGCCGTGAGCAAATAATCAATGAAGCATATGCATAGGGAGGCTGCCCTGTCCTGCTGATAGGACCAGAGGGTTTCACGCAGACGAATCACAGTAAGGTACGTAACATCATTTGATACAAGGCATCTCCCCTTATAAAGGATGGTCAAAGCATAGGCTGGAGAAGATGCATAAAGAAAAATGGAACACGTTACTATTCAGTGAAGGGTATGAAGGTAAGGACTCAGGGAGGGCTGTAGACAAAGATGTACAGTATGGACCGACACCTCTTTCAGGATAAGAAGGAGAGACCCCTGCCAAATAGAGTATCCTCCAGACGAATCCAGTTTTTCCTTTCTCTGGAGTCGGACTGATGTTGACTGTATCAACAACGATGATCTCTTCAAGGTCGAATGTTTTGCTGCTGCCTGCTGTGGACTTTGGGGCGACGGAGGGTGCTCGCGGAAAAGTACCCCTTCACAGCAAGCATATTTGCATGAGACTCAAGAAAGCTACTATAAAGGATAAAAAAGTGACGAGTATTCAGTATTAAACCATTTCTCTTGTGTTTTGTGGATTCCATCATCTTTAAGTCCAACAAAGACCTTCAAAAGTGGGACAATCGATCAATCAGGTGCCCCACGATTACGTCGTGATCTCATTCTCCGCAATCAGTCATTTGCTTTTGATTTTATCAGCTTCACTCAATAGGAAACGAACAAATTCAATCGCAGTCTTTTGCATGATGAGCACGTTTCTCTGAAATATATCTCATCAAGCTCCAAATTCGCTGTTAGGAATGGCAGGCTCCGGCACCAGATTCACTCCTCCTCCTTCGCCGCCGTCACCGACGGCGTCCTTCTACGATGTCAGCGACGCCGAGGAGGATGAATACAACAGTATCTCCTCCACATCAGGGAGAGGGGTGAAGCTTTTATTTTCCAAGAGCAAGGTTGGTTCTTGAAAGTCTAACAAAAAATTAATGCATAAAGGGCCAGAGCTGACGTTTACGATGTCTTGCTGAGTATTGTAGGTATACGTCCATCCAACTCCCTCCTCCAAGGACAATATACCTGGCTTTATCGCTCTGCTCCAACAAAAACCAGCTCCTACTGTGAGCAGCAATGCCGCATCAACAAATACCGCTAAGACCACCGCCGACCTCTCTTCCTACCTCCTTGCCTGGGTTCCCGAATCCTCCCTCGGCGACGCCTACAGTACCTATGTCAAAGTCGACCTGTCTAATGACTCTTCACCACCGAAGCAACGATATCTGGTGCCACCGCTCCCGACTACAACCACATATAAAGACCCGATAGGTCTATATGCGTTCGCCGTACCGCTGTCCGAAATTTATTCGCTGCTAGTGCGACCTCCTAGCTTGGGTTGGTGGTTTGGTAGCCTGGTGATCAATACCCGCGCTGGTGATAGTTTCCCGGCGCTGTTCTTTCACGATAGCGAGTGCGAATCAACGATACTGCAGAAGAAACGAAGGACAAGGGAAAGTTTTGACCCGTTTGGTGAAAATGGTGGCCTATTCTGGGGCGGTGACGAGGTTCTGCGGTGGCTCCGGAAATACGTTGAGGTGCAGCGCTCTTCTGTCGACAACAGTGTCTATCTTATAAATCCCTCCGAAGAGGACCGCATATCCTTCGCACGGCCACTCAGCAGTTATGACGGATCGGTAACGAAGCAAGGGCACGATCCAGCTGCTGGCCCACATCAACCCGGTGGCAGTGCAGAACGAGATGCCGGAATGGATCCCTTTGTGAAGGCACTCAAGGAAACTAGATGGAAGGTCCTTGAGCAACTCAGCAAGATTACCACGTTCACAAGGCGGACGGCGAACGAACTTGCCGACAACACCATGATTCCTCCGCAAGTTCGTCGCCTGATGAAGACTCCCGAGATTCAGACCTTGCAGGATGAGTTTGATAGCGCCCGGCTCTACTTAGCTCGATGGGCCATGAGCATTGCTGAGCAGAGCGAACGAGAGAGGTCCCAGCGCATATGGACTGCACGGGATGTTCTGGAAATGGAGAATAGCTCGGTGGGTGATTTTGAGATTTTGGAGCTTGAAACCGGAACAATGGCCATCCAAGAACGACGCAGAACTGTCACTATGCAGGAATGGGAGGGCTTCTTTGATGCCACCACGGGAAGACTTATCGTTACTGTAGACGAAGCGAAGGAGAGGATTTTCCACGGAGGCCTTGACCCGAATGATGGGGTCAGAAAGGAGGCATGGCTTTGTCTTCTCGGAGTGTACCCTTGGGACAGCAGCCGCGACGAGCGTCAAGCTCTGATGTATTCCAAACGGGATGAATACATCCGGCTGAAGGGTGCTTGGTGGGAGAGAATGGTTGAGGGGTCTTCCAATGCCGAGCAGTATGAGTGGTGGAAAGAGCAGAAAAACCGCATAGGTATGCTTGCTTCACTTGGAGGCATTTCTAAGTTGATCTGCTAACATATCGGTATCAGAAAAAGATGTGCATCGTACAGATCGCACGATACCTCTCTTTGCTGGAGAAGATATCCCTCATCCCGATCCAGACTCTCCCTTTGCGGACGTAGGGACAAACGTACATCTAGAGCAGATGAAGGACATGCTTCTCACATACAACGAATACAATCCTGACCTGGGCTATGTCCAAGGAATGAGTGACCTCTTAGCACCAATTTACGCGGTCATGCAAGACGATGCAGTCGCATTCTGGGCCTTTGTTGGATTCATGGACAGAATGGTAAATAAATCCCACACACATCCATCCCAATCAACACCTGCTTACACAGACCAGGAACGGAATTTCCTTCGCGATCAGTCTGGCATGCGCGCCCAGCTCCTCACCCTAGATCACCTGGTACAACTTATGGACCCCCAGCTATACCTCCATCTCCAATCCGCCGACAGCACGAACTTCTTCTTCTTTTTCCGGATGCTCCTTGTCTGGTACAAACGCGAGTTCGAATGGGTAGACGTCCTACGTCTCTGGGAGACATTGTGGACCAACTATTTCTCCAGCAGCTTCCACCTCTTCGTCGCGTTAGCAATCCTAGAAAAACACCGCGACGTAATTATGGACCACCTCAAACATTTTGATGAAGTTCTTAAATACGGTAAGCACATTATCTCTACCCCAACTCACTACGACACCCGATTAATCAATCTAAAAGTCAACGAGCTCTCAAACACCATGGAGCTCATCCCCATCCTCACCCGCGCAGAATCCCTTTTCCGTC